CCTGCAGACTCTAGCACCCCGATCTTCTTAGTCTTCCAACTTCACCTTCTCAACTAGAACTGAAAGTTTTCCCTGGCCTTCCTGGGTTCCCCTCACTGGGCAGGGCCTGGACACTCTCCAGACGCCGTCAGCCAGGCAGGCACAGGGCCCACCCCTTTGATGCCCACCTCGCAGGGCCGGTCAGAAGCAGCAGTTAACGTCAGTCACTGCGTCTGTGTAAGGGATTGAGGTGCTTTTCGCAGCGCGCGCCTTGTAGACAGGCCCTGGCTCGCGTGTCTCCAGACGGGACCTTACCTTCCAGGTTCTGACTCGATGCCACTCTCTTCCGAAATCCCTCTTCCCCGCGTGGCTCGTTTACCCTGGCTTGCACTAAGTAGTTCGACAGACATTCTGTGGATTTGTTTATGGCAAAAGTTGAACGCAGCTGCGTGCTTGCTGGGAAGGAGGTCCGCTTCTCTGCGTCGAGCGAAAGTGCTGACCTGCCTGTGGTTTGGGAAAGACCCACACAGCAGTTCCCCAGGATCCGCCGTGAAGACGCGCAGACAGAAACACACTTCACGTGCTTGGGAGCGCTGCCATCACCTGCGTGCGTGTCTCCTTCCCTCTTTGCCCGCTCGGCTGGGACGCGCCATGTCCTCGTCTTCCACGTCCTCGCTGCTCAGTCGTGGGACGGGCCTGGCTAGTAGGGCCTGACTGCACTGTCAGGGTCAGGCCCGGGTCTCCATCTCGGCTTGCCCCTTGTCACTCTGCGCTCTAGCAGGAAAGTGGGCACTCAGGTTTGGAGGAGTCCCAGGTGGAGGGCCAGGAAGGAAGCCGAACGCCAAGCCTGGGGTTCAGGAGGGAGGTCGCGTCTGGATGTGGACGCCACGAGCTGTTAGCAGTTGGCTTTTAGTGTCGTGGGGCAGAGGACAGGCGGGAGTTGGGTGTGGACGGAGAGAAAGAGGTGCAGGATCAAGCCCCGGGGCACACCACACCAGGGGTGGGGTGGTGAGGACCCTGCAAAGGAAACTGAGGTGCGAGGGCACCAGGCCAGTGTATGACCCAGGGACGAGAAGAGAGCCCACCACAAAGAAGGCGGTGGTCAGTGCTGTCCTCCAGGGCCAGCAAGTGAGCTGGGGATGGAGTGGAGTGTCCGCCAGTCCTGAGTCCACTGGCATGGATCCAGGAGCCACTGAGGCTAGGGCAGAGGACCGTCCACATCCCACACGTGCGGGTGTCAGTGTGCCCACCTGCTCTCTCGGAGGGCATCCTGGAACTGCTGACTGGGGCTCTCAGGTACCTGGGAAAGGGCCCTTGCAGCCCGCCCTGCTCCTGGGCCGGCTGTCAGCTGGGCCTTCGAAGGTGCCCGGTGTTTGCAGGATCCAGACTAAACCGGGTGACATCAGGGTTCCCTGCCACTTAGTGTAGTTACTGCTTCAGCCTATTCATTGATTTCCACTGCTTTTTGTTTCCAGTAAAGAATTCCATAGAGATTCGCCCCCGGGAAAAAGGCCTCTCGCACTGGTGGGCTGTGGGGTCCAGTACAGGAAGCCTTGCACATGGGGTCTCCCAGGGGACGCCAGCGGGCAGGCGATGACAGTCGGGGAGAACGAGGGTGGGACGAGCTCTCGCCCTGCTCCGTCCTGTGACAGCTGCCAGGCACGCGGTCTTCCCTGCAAACGCTGCTGTTACCTGTGGGGCAGCCGCGGGCGGGGGGACTCGAACACCATCCCGAGCTTCTCGCAGACGCTCCCTGCCTTACTGCAGCCCTGGGTCAGTTTCCAGACTTCTGGAAGGCCGATTCTCATGTCTGCCCACTTCCTCATGCTTTTATGGAGAAGAGGATTTTCTGTCTCTTTTTCTGATGCTTCTTGGCAAAGCTCATCCTGTGCAGCTATTCATTGTATAAAGGGCTCTGCGATGAAGAGGAAAGGAAGTACAGAAAGCCAGATTAGTAAGGACAGCACTTGCCCCTGGCTCTTGGTGCGGTCTCTAAGGTGACATGCATTTACAGGATCACACACGTGCACAGACGCCCGTGGTATGCTTGCTTTCCTCTAGTTCTCCCTTAGAAACACCTTGTGTCTTTGCGTCCCTCCACGACTTACCAACCACCCTCAATAGCGGCCCCGTATTCAGACGGAGCAGGCTCGCCGTCATTTATCAGCTGCCGGCCCGGGGCACGATTGGGCTGTTTCATTTTCCACTTTCACGACCAGCCGGGGCGGATATTCCCCGTGCATTTCCACGTGTTTGTCCCACTTGTTTAGAAGGTGCACCCAGAAGAGGGGTCCTGCAAGGAGACGTAAGAAGAGGACGAGTGGGGGGCGTGGGGAGGGCTGTGGTCTCCAGTCTGGATGGGACTGCCCCCTCCGTTTCTCAGCCCTGCGCACACCCCAGGCTTCACGCTGTGCCCCGTTGAGCTCCCAGGGCCAGCGGAGGATGTAGATGGGAACCACCCGCTTCTGGTGCAGAGAGGAAATTCTCCTTTACCGCCAGAAATCTCCAGTGAAAGGATGTTTTCCTCAGTTCAGAGCGAACATGGTTCAGTTTATGGCAAGCCCGAGACATTTGCAGTAGGCCGAAGGACTCACTGCATCAAAGGTAACATGGCTTAAACGTGCCCGGTGTAGTTGAGGGTTACGCTCATCGCAGTTCTCTGGAAGTGGGAGTCCCTTTCTGCCATGTACTAGGCCTTTGGCGTGTGTGGAGGCCTCTGAGGCTTACTGGATTCATGAATGTCATGACAGCTTTCAGTGTCCCCCCAACCTGCAGTAAACCCCGACTAAAAATGCTCACGGCTCCTGCCGCAAGCTCCTCATCGCCTTGGGGTACATGGCCTACGGGCGTTTTTTTTTTT